AACCCCCCCCCCCCCCCTTAAAATAATCACATTTTGTTGCTTTGCAGCTTGAAATGAAGACGGACACAGTTTTTGTTTTAGCCAGCTGTATCTACTCAGTGCAACTTATAACATCTAAGTAAAAGATATAACACCAACATGTCAGAAAAAAATAAAAAATAAAAAAACAGAATCACTGAGTTGGAAAAAGGATCACCCCCTCCTAAACATGACTTGTATCCTCAATCAGGTGTTGCTAATCACCTTCTCAATGCACACAAAGCCATTTGACTTTCAACTGTGATCAGCTGTGGTCATTTTGATTAGCTCAGCATGAAAAGAGCTTTCCTGGAGCATTTTAGTCCTTGGTAGTGCAACTGAAGCAAATGATCAGCTGTGGGTGGCAAGACACTGTCAAAAGATCTCCGGTATAAAGTTGTGGACAGGCACAAGTCAGGAGATGGGTGCAAAAAAAAAAAATTAAAGGGCTTTATCGATGCCTAGAAGCAGAAGCAGTTACAGGAATTTATGACAAAGAGTGGTCATTGTGTGTGTGTGACTGCAATAACAGATTCTCCACAGATGTGGCTTGTATGGGAGGGTTGCAAGAAAAAAGCCACTCCTCAAGAAAGGCCACATGCAGTCATGACTGAGCTTTGCCAAAACGCACCTTAAAGATTCTGAGGCAGATGGTACTAAACGTGAATTATTTGGCCTCAACACCAAATGATATGTCTGGCAGAAAACCAATACAGCTTATTATCCAAGTAACAGCATTCCTACAGTAAAGCATGGAGGTGGTAATATGGGGTGTTTCTCTGCAGCAGCAACAGGATCGAAGGAAAAATGGATGGGGCAAAACACTGTCAGATTCTTGAGGAAAATCTGCTGCCCTCTGCCAGAAAGTTGTCAATGGGAAGAAGGTTTACCTTCCAACATGACAATGACCCAAAGCACACAGCAAAACTGAGCACACAGTGGTTGAAGGAGAAAAAGGTGAAAGTCCTTGCATGGCCTAGTCGGAGCCTAGACTTCATTGAAAATCTGTGGAACGACTTGAAGACTGCAGTCCACAAACGGTCACCATCAAATTTAACTGAACTTGAGCAGTTCTGCAAAGAAGAGTGGGCGAATATTGGAAAGTCTAGATGTGCAAAGTTAGTAGAGACATATCCCAACAGACTGAAGGCTGTGATTTAAAGCAAAAGGTGGTTCAAAATACTGACAACTCAGTGTTTCTGTTTTAAAAATTTTTTAAAAAAATGTTTATTTAAGTATGTATAAATTATGCAAGAAGATAAGAGTGGGAAAGGCGGGCTCATCGGAAATCAGGCTGCTGGTCCCACTGAATTAATTTCAGGACACACTTTATTCAAAGTCGCACACTGATCGATGGAAGGGTTATGACCTCAGGTCAGGGTGGGTTCAGGGATTTCTTTTTGCTTAAGATGTGCTGATAAGTGTATGAAATTAATGTGTGCGTGTATGGACACACATGATAGATTCGGGTTGGGGCTTGAGTTTATATTTTCAATATAATGACCGGTTATATTGATTAAACGGTGCTGTGAAGACAAAAAACAAAACAAAGAACAGCATAAATGTACATATAACTCTTGTGCTATATTCCAAGTCATAGCAGCATAATCATTTTTAAAATATCTCTATTTTTGTGTCCAGTGGAAAAAGTAAAATCATATGGGTTTGGAACAGTAAGTGAATGACATAATTTAGATTTTTGGATGATCCATTTCTTTGAAGAAAATGCTTTCTCTTGAAAGTTACTTTGCATCTAAGTGTAGACTGAGAAAATCGAAGATGACCGTGACTCAAGGGCTGTGTAGTTTCTGCATGCCATTATTAACAGCACCATTTAAAGTATGTGATCAGTGCTTGAGACACATGATGCATTGCCTCTGTGAGGCTAGAATCTCCCGTCGGGGCTTTTCCTTGGATTTCTCTTAGAAATCTTGTGGTCTCATTAGCTGTCTCATTAGTTCTCACTCTGCGGTTTTCTTTAGTGGCTCGAAGCACATGATCCTCTTTGGCATTGGTGAAAGGCTGAATGGAAGGGCGGATCTCATCCACTTTGTTCATTGTCAACAATAAGTGATGGTATATGCATTCACTACAGAGAAGCTGTGGTTTGCTGCACATAAAATGTAAGTTTATGACACACGTTATGGTGGAAACACTGGTCCATAAAACATCCACTTTACTGGCTTGTGAGTTATTGGACATTAATGATAATATTAGTCATGGCACTTAATCTGAGATAAAGATGACGTTCGTGATAGTTGTAAGAATACATTAAAGTGCCCTTTGTAATTAAGATCATCAAGATATAAATATGGAAATCAAATCGGAGGTGCACTAAGTGCCATTTCTTTCGATGCAGGGAGACTTTATACTGCTGCAATCAAAAAGACCTACAGACATATTTTAGAGACATTTAAAATTGTGAAAATGTCAGATTTCATTTTTTTGCTGTAGTATGACTCAGCGTTATACAGTTCATTTGAACACTGTGAGTAACCACCAAGCCCTGCATGTGCCTTTTACCTGACCACTGCGTTCCGCTGTGGGATCTGATTGTGAGTTTGAGAACCTTTTCAAGGGAGGATGTGGCTTTTGCCCCCCACTGAGAAGTTCTTGCTTCTTTTTTCCATAGCATACCCAGAACTAGCCTTGCCCTGTGCCTTCCATTAAACTGCTGAAAGGGAGGCCAATTACTCCCAGCAGCCGCACTGTGGTTGATTCTAAGGAGCTCTCTCAGAATCGTTATGTTGTTCTACTGGGAGAGTGTGTGTGGTAGGGTGTGTGCTTTTGTGTGCTCAAGTGTGTTTTGGTGAGCCTCTGTCTGTGAGTAAATGCAATCAGTGTCATGCTGTTTTTTAAGCTCGCTGGCTGCAGAGAAACTTAAGAGCAAAATAAAATCTGTGACTTTTGCTGAAAATGCACAAGTGCCCTGCTTAAGCATGGTAACCTCCAGAACTCTGAAATTAAGCGGACTGAAATGTGAAGTACTTCTGTCTCCTTTTCTGTGAGGTCATGCTGATCGGCAGTGCTTCTGTACATCCAGTCTAACATGGTTTTGGCTCTTTCAGTAGATCTTCCCACTGTTCAGATGGACTGCCTTGTTTTCAGCATGAACTGGGCCCTGGTGAGTCAGTTCCTTTTGCTGTCATGTCTTGTATGACCTTTCATTGGCACAGGGGAGTTAGGCGGACCTCTTGAACTTGATGAGAGCTATACTTGGTGTTTTGGGATGACTTAGCTACAGACAGAGATAAGAAGAGGAAAAGCAAATATAAAGTCAGTTGCGTAGGGGTTTCCTTGTTTGATAAATTTAGAGACCAACACAAAAGTTCACAGAAGAAGCTGAGAAAAAGAAAGCAGTGTAAAAGCTGCATCAACTAAATTTAACTCATTAAAAATAAAAAAGTAGCCAATGATCAACATGTCTTCATAGTGAATTCTAAATGAAAACTTGAAAATATTGACTGTTTAACTTGAGAAAAACTGTTGTCAAAAGAATTCTGAGGTTATTTATCCTTTAAAAGATTTTCACATGCAGAAATTATATATACTG